TTGACTTGGTGTTGTCAGCACCACGCTCAGCCAGTGAGCGAACCGGCCATCCCTATATGGGATCCGAACCCGGGGCCTTGGTGTTATCAGCACCGCACTCTCCCGAGTGAGCCACGGGCCGGCCCCAGGGAAAATAGGTTTTTAAAGTATATGTTGGAATTTATTGGAAAAGAAGTTAATGAAGCAGTATTTTTGATGGTAAGAGTTTTCTCTCAAGGTACTTTTATAAAAAATAGTTCTCAAAAACAATGTCTAAAAATTTCTAAAAATATGTTATTAATTTGGAGAATTGTCTTCTGCAGTTTGATCATCCATGTATGATTTTGTAACCACATGCTTCATTAAATGTCAACACATACACATTTGTGTGTATGTTTTAACATTTTATTATAGAAAACAAAAAATATACACAAAGTATAGAAACTATAGCATCATGAACACAATATACCTATCACCTGGCTCAACAATTACCAGTTATACTCTTAGTCTTTTCTCCCTTCACTCCACCCTGGGTTATTTTGAAGCAAATATCAGACATTATTATATCATTTCATCTATGAATACTTCCATAAGTATATCTAAAAGATAAGGATTTTTTAAAAACACAACCATATTATTATCATAGCAAAAATAACTGTAATTCCTTAATATCATTAGGCATCTAATAATTCATATCTCAGTTTGTATAAGTAATGATTTATCTTGGCATTTAAATACAAAGGTTCTGTCTCTGGTGCTCATCGTAGTATGTGAACATACTGCTTAGTATGACTGACACAAGAAGGGCTTGTTTAACCACAGGCTCTTCAGCACAGCTCACTGCTTCACAGATTACTGATATCTTAGTACAGTGAATTATTTAGACTGTGGCACAGTTCACCAGTGAGCATTAGTATCTTTTGGTTCTTATTGGAAGCTAAAATACCTGCAATCTTTAGACATTGCTGAACTCTTTTTAGATGTGGGCACTTTATATATTGTGGTAGTTTTTCAGTTTTAAAGAAAGACTAAACGGTTGATTAGGCACCAGGACCAAGGATTGCTGTCCACTGAGTAGCTGGGCCCTTTTCAGTGAGGATTTCTGTTTGCATTCTGTGTGGAATTTATGACTGTCACAGTTAAGATCTTCCTGATGTGGCTCTTCTTACAACTCTGCTGATGATCACTATCAGGTGGTAACTTAGCTTTCTTTTCTCAGATCACACACGTTGCAATGTGTGGATTCTGGATGGAGACCTGTACCACAAAGGCCTGCTAAAGTTTGCCGTTTCTGCTGAATCCTTGCCAGAGACCCTAGTCATTTTTGTTGCAGACATGTCTAGGCCTTGGACTGTGATGGAATCTGTACAGAAATGGGCTAGTGTTTTACGTGAGCACATTGATAAAATGAAAATTCCGCCAGAAGAAATGAGGGAGCTGGAACGGAAGTGTAAGTAAAATGGAATTTTCTTAAATGGAAAATTCACTAGCCTCTTTGGATGATTCTAACTACTTCCTTTTCACAGTCAAGAGTCTCTTGCATAGTGTTTGTGTTTTGTTCGCACCATTTATTTCAGAGGTGTTGTTGTTAATTCAGTAGTCAAAAAGTATTCAAAGCAGTCTTTATCTCAAGTGTCACAATTGAAGAAAATGAATCATTATTCCATATTATATTCATTGGTTCTCTTTTAAAATAAGAGTTCTTCCCTTACTCCTGAAAATGTGATGAGTTCCGTCGGTCTCTATGTTTTTTTTTTAAGTCTCTGTCCACTGAGTTAGCATCAGAGGGTATGAGGGTTTGCTCTGTTCTTTGCAGCTTGAGTCCACTGCCCTGCAATTTCATTAAGGCCCTCTGGACCCTCTTTTTGGCGACGTTAGAGGTAGCACTAAAAAAAGACAAATCTTTCAGCTCCTATCTTATTTCATTCTGGAATCCAGCAAATATGATTTTAGTTAAAAATAGGAAGGTCATTTTTTTTTTTTAAATGAAAGGCTATTTTAAGACTAAGGACATCAAGTCTTTTTGAAAACAAAGAACTTTCAAATTAAAGGAAGTTTGTTTTGGGTTTTTTTTCTTAATGTGGTTCAGAAGCTTGTTTTTCCTTTCATTTGCTTCTGTGCAGTTACATCAGCTTCTGTCCACTTGCCAGGGAAATGGGAGGAGCAGGGATGGAGCTGTGGCAGTGGCCGTGGCAGCCGTCTTGTCCAGGGCAGACTTGGCCCAGCCTGGCTTATTTCTACAGGATGACCTCACTCCCTCTAGTTGCATTAATGAGGGCTTCTGGGGCATGGCCCAGGGGACCTTCACACTTATTGGCAGAAGAGTTCAGAAATTTTGATGTTCTTTTCAAATCAAATTTCCTGCTGTGTGTCTTCCTGTCCCACACTTCATTTTGTTCCTGTCCCATATTAGCTGAAACAGGGAGTTTAACATCTTATTCTTTGTTTTGGGGTGTGTGTGTATGTTTCCCTGGTCACCCACATGTGTGCTGCAGTGACTGTTATGCAGCTCAGCTCATCTGTCTTTAACCACTGACCTTTCTAGATAATGCCTCTCTTTCCCCTGAAATAGAGACCCTAAAGGCAACTTCTCAGAATAGTTCTGAGGCTGAAGAGCTGTTTTTTATCCACTGCATGTACAGCTGTACCCAGATTAGTGAGTTAATGCACCTGTTTTATTGAAGTGATGACCTTGTTAAGATTTTTTAAAACAGAAAAAAAAAAAAAGTGAGGTTAAGCCAAGGATATCGTTCTTTCCCAGGTAGGGAAAAAGTGTCTGCCCTGTACCAGGTACTGTTCTAGGCTCTGTAGATGCAGATGAGATGCCTGCTTCTAGGGAACATGTTTCCATGACACACTGAATTTATTTTGATCAATGAATTTGTCATTGATGTCAGTGTCACTTAGGATTAGATTCAACTGCATGTGACATAGAACCCAAGATAACTGTGGCATAAATAAGACTTGAGGTTTGTTTCTGTCTCCTGTAAATGAAATCTACTGGTAGTCAGTTCAGGCCTGGAAAGTAGCCTTGGGAAGACAGTTCAAGGACCCTGGCCCTTTTGTGCTTACTGCTTTGTCATTTCTAGGGTGTGGTTCTCTTACTTCTGACAACTGGAGCTCTAGCCTTCACATCCGTGTCCCAGGCAGCAGGATGGAGGAGGAGGAAAGAAGGGCTGGAGGGCACATGCCTGCTGTCTTCTAAGGGGGCTCAGAAATGTAGTTTTTATTCTGTTTGGCCATATGTTCTAAGTATCGGGGTTCAGTTCGGTTACAAGGAGGAAGAGGTAGGAGCACAGTGGAAGGCAGCTAACGATTGCTGGAACCATGTCTGTGTCATAACTCTGGTTCACCTTCTGAGGGCCTCTGCTTTCACCACTCCTCTGAGATTTTTGGAATGGTAGTCATGCCTTTGTGTTGCATGTTGAAGGAGGGCCCGTGTTAGTGCTGGTTTTAGATTACATTTTAATAAAGCAGTTGGCTATCCACTTGCCCAGAGGACTCTCACTTTCCAGATTAATTGGACTCTAGGTATTATATTGAATGAGTGAAGGGCTGTTATTCAACCTAGCTTTCAATTGAGCACCAGTCTCCAGTCTGCTGATTTTGGAAAGCTACTCCATGGCCAGCCACTCTCGTTCACGGTTAGGTTCCCCATTGGTCCTATGTCTGTGGCAGCCGTTTGGCTACAGGAACCATTTGAGAAGGAAGGTAGCACCCAGAGCTGCCAGAAAGTGGTGCTTATTTGTAGGTTAGTCTTGTCTTTCCTGCTTTATGTCTAGGGCTTCTCTCGTGTATGTAGGTGTATGGGGGCATTTCAGGACTGTAGGTGATCAGCGAGGTAGGAGGGAAAAGATGAGAAAGAGGCAGCCACAGCTAAGGTAGAGTACTTTGTGGTCTCCTTCCTGTGCTCACTCCCATCTGATGCTGAAGGGGAGCCCCAAGTGGGCTGATGGCCCCTACCATACCACCACCTAGAGAAATTGTTAATTCTGCAGTATGTATATACCCTGAGGAAGATTTACATTTTATTGTCCGAATTATGCTGTCCCATTTTTTTTTTTTTTTTTAAAGATGACCGGTAAGGGGATCTTAACCCTTGACTTGGTGTTGTCAGCACCACGCTCAGCCACTGAGCTAACCAGCCATCCCTATGTGGGATCCGAACCCGGGGCCTTGGTGTTATCAGCACCGCACTCTCCCGAGTGAGCCACGGGCTGGCCCACGCTGTCCTATTTTTAATCCTTCGTTTTCACTTACCTGTGTGTTATATACATTTGCTCTGTCTTTCAATCTGTTTTCTAAAATGCTGAGCTATTTTTTAAAAATTTGAATTTTCTACTGTTGATGGACAGCCACAATTAAGTCATTCTTGTAGAATGTGAATAGTCTAACCCTGGGCTTCCAGACTGTTTTCACAGGATGGCACATGTAGAATACAGCAGAGTTTGTGCAGCACACTAGGTAGTGGAAGTTCGTGGAGCATGCCACCTGAGCTCATGTCCTACTGTAGCTTAGCTCACCTGTAATCTGTTTCAGGCTTTGTCCTGCTCACTGTCTGGGAAGCCCTGGTCACTGTCTGGGAAGTGCCTTGTGGCACTTGGGTAGTTAGATGTGAAACAGTTAAGCTAATTGTATTTTTCAGTGATTCAAAGATTTGTTAAAATGCTTTTAAAAAGAAAATGTGAGAATCTTTGGTTCCTTTAAAACCCTTCAATAGCCAAGTTAAATTCTGTTTTTGTCCAAAATGGAGGAAACATCCCTTGAGTAGATCATTTATATTGACAATGAAGTTATGTGAATGAACTTAATTAAAGACAAGTTGTAGAGTTGAAATATTATCACATGTACACTTTAGGGCTTAATCAGTTTTCAATTTGCCCAGTATTATGTAGAAGACAATGAGCTCCCAGATAATTTCAGAAGCTCATATAATGACAACCTAAAGTCTTTGCAATAAAACCTCATTGTTTTTAAAATGTTTGAAAACTATTCTGTGTGAAAAGAGGAGTACACACACCTTTCTCTAGGTCTTCTTCAGTCCTGTTATTTGCATTTACAAATGAGCATGTTGTTTATGAGAATAAAGGGCCTTTTGGTCCTTCAGTCCTGTTGGGGTTAGAAGGTTAGAACTGCCTGTTTGCTCCTCTGGCTCAAAGATTTAACCATCAGTTCCTTGTTCTCTGGCTTGACACATGAGCCTTGAAGTACCCATGTAAAGATGCAGGTCTGTGGGCTTTATGGTCAGTTGGCTTAATTGAGGCCATAGACTACTATCAGCTTGAAGGCCCTCAGCTGGAGTAGTGAATGTGTGTGCCAAGAAGTGCATATTGTATTGCTAACCCTTTCTTGTGTTAGGCAGGAACAGGCCATGAACAGGCAGTGTCACACACACTGCACGTGTGACTCAGGATCTCCTAAAGGTGACACTGAGTACACAGAGTGCGGATAATGAGGAAATGTGTCTGGTGCTGGCAAGTCCAGCCTTGTTACTTAGGGCTGACATACCTTAATTGTATGGAAACAGCATGTTCTTATGGAATTCAAATTGTTTTACTAAGCATTTCTAATGAGGACTCAGATGAATTTTGTAAGTTATAGCTCTTTCTAATGGTAACTTATGTTGAAGTAACAGTTCAACTATTCTGGTATTTTGAAAATGAAAGATATATAAGAAAAGTGTCTTTTTCCATAATAGGCACTGTTAAAGCCTTAGAATTTTTTTTTTTTTTTTTTTTTTGGTCTTTTGTCTTTTTCCGTGTCCGGCAACGGATTGCAACCCTCAGTGTTGTCCCCGTACCGGACCGGGGACCGGCAATGGGATCGCAACCCTCGGTGTTGCTCCCGTGCCTCACTCAGCCAGTGAGCGGGAACTGGTCTGTATGTGGGATCCGAACCCTTGGGCGGGAGCGCCGCTGCACTTCCCAAGCGGCGCACTATCCAGTGCGCCACCGGGCCGGCCCAAAGCCTTAGAATTTTTAAAAACCTGTTTAGGAGTTGAATACAGTTGAAGATGTCTAGGGGAATGTCTTTGCTGCTCTGAAGTTACAAAGCTCAAATTGAATGTGTCAAAATTGGCATTTTGCATCATTGTCCCCAAATCCCTAATATTATAGCTGATGTGACTGGTAAGTTTATCTTACGTTTTGTGCTTGTTACTGCCTTTTTCAGTTTTCTAAAGCTAATATGCATTTTTATTTGTGTGTGTATAATTTTTTTCTCTTTTTCCTCTGTAGTTGTGAAAGATTTTCAAGACTATGTCGAGCCTGAAGATGGTTGTCAAGGTTCCCCACAGAGAAGAGGGCCTCTGACCTCAGGCTTGGATGAAGAAAATGTTGCCCTGCCTCTGGGCGACAACGTGCTGACTCATAACCTGGGGATCCCAGTGTTGGTGGTGTGCACAAAGGTGTGTGCCAGGGAATTGTAATCTTGGCTGGGTTTGGCCAGTGAACAATCACCGTCTGAAAGAAAGGAGAAGCTTTGATGAAGTTTCTTCCCAAGGGAGAGTTGGGCTTATTCAGGATTCATTAAGGTACATTGATTATGTCAGGATAGAAAATATTGTCATTTAACATTGCTGCTGGAAACATGACATCACTCGGTTTGCTCATGGCCTGGGTTAATCTCTCTGTGAAGTACTGTTGATTTTATGGTCAAACTCAAAACCAAACATACTTTTTTTTAAGGCTATGTAAACCAGCTCATCTGGTCCAAACTGATGGTGAGAAAATAGAATAATGAGGTAGGAATAGAAATTAAATTCAGTCATAGAGAAACAAAGTTTTGTCTCTTACCTAAAAAAAAAAAAAAAAAAAAAAAAAACCAACTAGCATTTAAAAACATTTTGGGTTTCAAAAGTACTTGGCTATGTAAACCAGCTCATCTGGTCCAAACTGATGGTGAGAAAATAGAATAATGAGGAAGGAATAGAAATTAAATTCAGTCATAGAGAAACAAAGTTTTGTCTCTTACCTAAAAAAAAAAAAAAAAAAAAAAAAAACCAACTAGCATTTAAAAACATTTTGGGTTTCAAAAGTACTTTATTCCCAGAGCCACTGTATTGCCAGGCTACAGAGGCTGTGCCAATCTTACCCTGTTCTTGAGAATGGAGCCCTGCATAGTGCATCACACAGCTATGTACAGTGGGTCTTTCTCCTGATGTTCTTGTCGTTTAGAACTTCTGTGAGGTGATTGACCTGTTACATCCCCACTTTACAGGTAAAGAAACTGAGGCCCTGGATGAAAGAGAAAAATTTCCAGTTCCTTTTTACTCTTCTCTAATTCTTGGACCCTTGGCTATGGCTTTTCTTCTTTGGAACTATGTTACTGTATTTCCGAAGGAGGTGCTGTTCCCATCCTCAATAGGCAGAGAGGCAAAAAGATAACTTTCTTTCTATCTCTCCTACAGTGTGATGCAGTGAGTGTCCTGGAGAAGGAGCACGATTATAGGGACGAGCACTTGGACTTCATCCAGTCGCACCTGCGGAGGTTCTGTCTCCAGTGTATCCTTGGGGCCCTGTGTTAGGGCCTGTGGGTACGGGCTTCCTTTCAAGTGGGGCATCTTCAAAGAGATAAAGTACCTTCCGAACCCAGAATAGTCTTCTACCAGGGAGAAATTGTATATGTCTTTATACTGATTTTATATTTTACTTTGTTGGAATTTGAGGCTTATTAACTTTGTGCCTATCTTTGACCACTTTTTATTTTTAATGTTGTACGTTTGATAGTCTCTCATATTAAGAAGAAACTGATATGTAACAATTTAATTATCAAATTACTTCTATCACGCTGTCTTAGAAATCTTTTTAAACTGTGCTTTTATGCAGAAAAGGCTAATGACCAAAAGGATGTTGTTTTAGAGGCTATAGGTGTTTCCCATGTGTTTACATTTTGTGCTATCCATGGGAGAGATGCTGTGTCAGCATTCTTTTGAGTCTTGGTTCTGTAAAAAGCCAACAGCAGTTGGTACCATAGTCCCATGATCTGGGGTGGGGCTGAGGGATGGGTTCCTGCCACTTCCTTTGAGCCCATTAGTTTGTTGGGACCCATTCCTCATAAAAAATGTGCTTAAAGATAAACCTGGTCATGTGTGAGCATCTCCTCGGGAGGGAATCTTTGTACCTTGATAGGCTGAGTGTATTTTCCTGGTCTAGCCTCAGAGCCATAACTTCACTTTTGGGGAATAAATCCAAGGGGTCAAGATGGGTACACATGTTTAAAAATGAACTGCATAGCCCACTAGCATCAACATGCTTTATTCTTTTGACTTGCTTCATCTGCTGCTATTACCTTTTTAATTTTTAAAATTGTAATACTTTCTGTTGCTCATGTATTGATCAAAAACTGATCAACTCGTGAGTAGTACTTTGAGGATTGTGCTTGTATGTGTTTGATTTTGTCTCCTCCTGCAGTGAATTGGTTTTCCTTAACCAGATTGATTAGATGGAGCTGCCTTGATTTACACATCAGTGAAGGAAGAGAAAAACCTCGACTTGTTGTATAAGTACATTGTTCATAAAACATACGGTTTCCACTTCACCACACCTGCCTTAGTTGTGGAGAAGGATGCAGTTTTTATGTGAGTTGTTTAGAGGTGATGCTTTCAAACTCTGCTTTCTCTATAGTACATTTGATTTTTACATTTTACCCTTTCAAGTAAAGTGCCTTTTGTCTTGTCTTACACAGACAGCTCTCACTGCCTTAGAGTAAAGTGCTTGGGCTGGACCAGCCAGCTTTCCTTCTCTGCTTTTTTCCAGATTATGAAGCTTTCTGCCTGAGGGAAGTAGGTGGTATGGTTAGGGCTGCTGCCTTTCTTCATTGAAAGCAAGTTGCCAAGACTTAAGCCAGCCATTTTTGATAACTATTGTCAGTTCTGGTAAAATGCTGGCTGGGAGAGGAAGTGGAAGGATAGGGAATTGCACTTTGGGGATCCTGAATGTCTTCTGCTAAAGGCTCTGGTTTCTCTGCCTATTGGCAGGGATGATTCTAAGCATCCTCTCAGCCTCCTTATCAGCATGGGCTTTGGCTGTATTGAGTGCTTATTGTACTTCCGGCATTTTACATTTTGGGAGCCACTGGGGCTGATTGTCCTCACCAGAAACTTGGATACCTGCTTCCTGAGTCTGTGTCTTTCTTTCACTGGAGAATCATAAATGTTGCTGGATGTATAAATAAATGATGAAGCTGGGCCTCCTAGAGGATTTGTGTTAGCAGATCGATGTTCAGGCTTAGATATCCTCTTGTCTTAAAAAATAATTACATTTGTTCATTCATTAAACCTTATTCAGTACCTCCTAGGTGCCCAGGTTCTCTGCTAGGGACACAGAAATGAATGAGACGTGGTCCCTGCACACGGTACTGTAGGGGACAAACACACAGCTGAAGAAGGGAAGGGCAGTGATGCGGTATTAGAGGAAGTACAACAGGGAAGGTGATGCTGGGAGATGAACGGTGTATCCCAGGCAGAGTAGAAGGAATTGGGGGAGTAGTCCAAGAGAGGCTGGAGGTGTGAATTCCAGGAGCTCTCAGGGAACTGAATAGGTTTCCTCCTGCACATTCAAGGAAAGCCTCACTCAGGCTACTCATAGACAGCATACTACAGGCTTGGCCTGTGTATTTGTCCATTTCTGTTGCTTATGACAGAATACCTGAAACTGGGTAATTTATAAAGAAATGAAATTTCTTACAATTTTAGAGGCTGAGAAGTTGATGGTGTGGGTAACGTATCTGGTGAGGGCCTTGTTATTGGTGGTGACTCTGTGATGCAGGGTGTCACATGGTGAAAATGGGCTGAGCAAGAGAGTTAACCTCCTCACTTGCTCTCTTTTTAAAATCACCAGAACCATACCCATTACTCCGTGAATGGATCAGTCCATTCATGAAAGCACAGTTCTCACAATCTTATCACTTCTTAAAGACCCCATCTTTCAGTTACCATAATTGAATTTCCCACCCTCTTAATACTGTTATGGTGGGGGTCAAGATTCCAATACATGAACTTTGGGGGGACCAGTTTGACTCATAGCATCCTGATTTTAGAAAATCATCTACAATAGTTAGGAAGGCACTAAAAGCATAAGCTCAGTGAGTGATTTGTTTTTGGAATCACTCAGTGCCCAAATTACATTTGATTCTAAGGAGCAGGAGAGTGGTTGGATTTGGGGCTGATCTGGAATGGAGAGGCATCTTGCAGCTTCTGAAGGCTGCATAGGTCATGGCAGTATCTTGATTGTGCCCTATCCCTTTGCACCTTTGGTCCTGTTGGTAGTTTCCTATCTGGGGACTGGTAAAGTCAGCAAGGATATTTGGGTAGAGCGCCCTGGCTAAGCACCCTTTTGGTTATAGAGCTATGGAGCAGGAGTTGGATAGAGAATGAGATGCCTGTGAGAACAATCAATTGCCATCTTTCAGAGTGTCTTGAGTTCAAATGTGTGGCATGTAGGACATTTTACAATTGCTACCTTTAATAGATTCAGGTGGGAACCCTAGGGTGCAGCTCAACTTAATGGAACCTGGGCGCCATCCTGCCCTGTGATGTCGAGCTGGGCAGCACCCATGCAGGAGCCTCAAGGACTGTTTGTGCTCCTCTGGTTTGAGGCCAGGACAGATGCAGGCTCTGGTTGCCCCTTGACTCCAGGGCATGTCTTCCCAAATCAGCAAAAGTAATGAATCAACCCACATGATAACTGTTGTTAGAAAGAAGAGTTCTGGGCCGGCCCCGTGGCGCACTCGGGAGAGTGTGGCGCTGGCAGCGCAGCGGCGCTCCCGCCGCAGGTTCGGATCCTATATAGCGATGGCCGGTGCACTCACTGGCTGAGCGCGGTGTGGGCGACACCAAGCCAAGGGTTGCAATCCCCTTACCGGTCATGAAAAAGACAAAAAAAAAGAAAGAAAGAAAGAAAGAAGAGTTCTCAGAGAGAGAAGCAACCCACAGGAGGGAGCCTCTATGCCACAGCCCAAGAGGAACAGTCCCATCCTGAGCTCTGTCCTCTGTGCTGCTCTCTGCATTCTCCTTTTTGTTGGAACAAGGCTCCATTGTGTCCTTGCTCTGAGCTCTTCTAGGTGGAGTTGTGGGAGACCTCTGAGCACTTCCAGTGGGGCAGCATGTGAAGTCCTCATACTGCCTCCTTAGGCCTAGGCCCATGAGCTCAGTATGGAACAGAACCTGCATTGTTGATCTGAAGGGTTATAGCTGCAGTGAATTTTTGCTTTTCTGCCGAAAGCTGCAAACCTCCCCTAGCAACTCCAGACCAGATGTTGTGTGAAAGGATCTCACTCAGGAGTCTTATTTAACCTGGAATGTGCTCTGAATATGCTGTAAGGCAGTCCCAGGAAAAGCAAGTCAATCCCTGTCTCTTTACCTCTAGACCTGCAGGCTGGGACAATGAAAAGAAAATAGCTATTTTACATGAAAATTTCACAACTGTGAAGCCAGAAGATGCATATGAAGACTTTATTGTGAAACCTCCTGTGAGAAAGGTACCCAAATCAATCACTTTAAGAGTTTAAGCATTTTTTAACAGGAAAAGAAACCTATAAAAAGAAATAGGTCTTACACATTGTACCACTTTGAAAAAAAATACATAATCCAAGGGCTTTTTTGTTAATCTTTAAATGAGGTGTGGTGTTAAGTAAATGGCTCAAGGTGGGGGGCATGAGCAATGGAATACCCGCATGGAGTTGGGAGACCTTGCCCATTGCTTCCTAACAGCACTGCTGCTGCCCGGAATTACTACTACTAGATCCCCTCGCTCCTGTGATCTGCAGACTGTGGGAGATGTTTAGAACCTGCCAGACTTAAAAATGTCAGTTGGCCACATGCCACAGCTGGTTTTGGGAGAGAGTCTGTGCCAAAGTAGAAAAATGAAATTGCAGTCTTAGCAGGGATCTCCCAGACTGGTGTTAAGGCCCAAGCCCAAAATTCTCCTTTCAGCATGACTTTTAACAGTAGTTCGGAATGTTCTTGGCCTGTACCCACAAATGTGTGTGTCGCTTCACAGCTGGTGCATGACAAAGAGTTGGCAGCAGAGGATGAGCAGGTGTTCCTAATGAAGCAACAGGTAAGAAAACCAGTGACATTAGAACAGAGGCTTTTTCATGCTTGAAATGCCAGTCAGTCCTCAGCTGCATATGGGGAATCACAAAGAGCTTGCAACCTTATAGGTTCTAAGACCACGTCTCCTTCTTGTTCCCTCCTATTTCTAAGATTAGTAGGGGTTGGGCCACCTGCTTCATTAGAGCACCTGCCTGCCTTGCAGATTCTCCTACAGCTATAGGCTTAGTATCTTTTTAAGTGCCTTTCTATGGAAATGTAGGTTTTCTGGCACAATAGTTCCTGTGTTTACAGTACCAGGTGACCTTACCTCACTTCCATTATTTCATATAGCCCCACATAGCCCTGTGCATAAAGGCAGGTAATGACCATTTTGTAGGTGAGGCGAATAATTTCCCCAAGGTGACAGTTTATAATGCAAACCCAGTCACATTTCTCTTTCACCTGGACTAAAGTTGGAAGTCATGAGTTGCCCTAAAGGCAAGTCAGCAGTGAGTTTTGACAGTTCTTTTCCCAACTGTTCCTCCTTTCTTTGCTCTGCTTGCTTCTTAGCTTCAAAACTGGTTATTTGGAGTATTTTTCTCATCATATGCTGAACTGAATTTAATTTTTTTGCATTTATAGTGTAAAACATATGATGTGGTGGTTGTTAATGGTGCCCTCTAGTGGAATACTTAGAGTAAGTTTTTCTCCAGACCTTCAGTGCATACTGCAGGCCTTGGTTAATGGCCAGTTTGTCCCTCTCTTTGCAGTCACTCCTTGCAAAGCAGCCAGCCACGCCCACAAGAGCCTCCGTGAGTACCTTACACTAAACATAGGGTCTTGGCCCAGTGTTGTGGTTGTCTTTAGTCTTTATATCATTATTTGTGAGAGCTTATATTTGTGTGGGCTTTCATATTTTCCAAGGGAATTGGTCTCCCTAAAGGCCCATGGTCAGGAACATTAAAAAAAAAAAAACAAGAAAAAAACCCATAAAACATGAAAAAAGGATTTGTGTTCACACCACTGCCTCCAGTCTTGCTATCCATGAGCTGGAGCCTGTGAACCCTCACTGTCTCACTGAAGGGTGAAACTCAAGAAGTGTAACTCAGGGAATGTCTGATGAAGGATTACAACTCTGGGAATTAGAGTGAGCTGGCTTTATTATCTTTTTTTTCCTTTTTGTCTTTTTTCGTGACCGGTAACGGAATCACAACCCTCGGTGTCGCGCCCATACTGCGACTGGCAACGGGATCGCAACCCTCGGTGTCACGCCCGCACCGTGCTCAACCAGTGAGCAGACCGGTCTCTATATGGGATCCGAACCCTCGGAGGGAGCGCCGCCTCGCTCCCAAGTGCCACACTCTACCGAGTGCGCCACCGGGCCGGCCTGTGGCTTTGTTATCTTGATATCTCTTCTTTCAGGAGAAATTGGGGTCTAGAAAGGGACGGAGCTGGGAACAAGCTCCTAGTCCTATACCCTAGACTATGAAAAGTACCCTGCAGAAGCCTGTCTTCATTTTTGTAATATGTGTTTTCTGTTTTATGCCTGTATGTGACCTGGGCTGGTTTTGGATTTAGGAATCCCCTGCAAGAGGACCCTCTGGCTCTCCAAGGACCCAGGGCCGGGGAGGCCCAGCCAGTGTGCCCAGTGCCTCTCCAGGCACGTCGGTAAAGAAGCCAGACCCAAACATGAAAAGTATGTATTCTGTCTCTGTGGAGAGTGGTTTAGACCTGAGCCCTGTAGGGGCTGGATGGTCGGGTCTGTATGTTAGTATCCTTAGTTTTGTTTCTCATTATGTTTATTACTGTTTATGAATTGTGGGATTTTCCCCCCTTCACTTGTCAAGCTCAGTTACTTATTAATTTAAGTAGCAGTTATCCCAGTGGCTTAGTGATATCTATAAATATTGGCTGCAATAAAATCATCAAAACAAAATTTTATTTATTTAATTCTTGCATGTTTGAGGGGCACTTTTTATTCAGGATATGAGCTTTTCACAGTAGGTATAGAATGTTAAGGGCCTATAAAACTGAAAAACACTTCCTTGCAGACAGGGAGATGATGTGGAGCACAGGTTATTTATCTGTTCGGTACCCAAACAGGTGGGAAATGTAAACATGTTTCATTATCATGCTAACCCATAATTACTCAGCAGTGGTGATATATAAAGAATCCTTGTGAATGAATATTATCAGTGTCCTAGGAAGACAATAGCTACAATAGCTAATACCAGGCTGAGAACTGGGGTTTTTTTGTTTGTTTAATAAAGTCATCCAGGTTGTATGATGATTTTCTTTTCTTTACTATATCTTTAGATAATGCAGCAAGTGAAGGGGTGTTGGCCAGCTTCTTCAACAGTCTGTTGAGTAAAAAAACAGGCTCTCCTGGGAGTCCTGGTGCTGGTGGGGTACAGAGCACCACCAAGAAGTCAGGTAAAGAAGGGCCCTCAGAGACCTGTGTCCCTGTGGTTGAGCAGTGCTGGAAGGATGGGGTGGTGAACAGGAATGTCTGCCTTCACGTGGCCTGCAGACCCTTGGTGTTCTAAACAGCTAAGAAAGGGAGCACATCTCTACTTTATACTGAGCAATGTGTTGTGCTTTCAGTGGGATCATCTTATTACCATGTGGGTTTCCTTGGCACATTTAAAGTGGGATTTATGTGGCTATTGGGTGAGTTGAGGTATAGCCTAAATTGTACATGTGGTGTGGAAGCTCTCTCCATCGGAGGTAATGGTCTAGAGTGTACCATTGACATTTATTTCATTTTCTATGATGCCTTAAAAGGATTTGTGTTCACTACACTGCCTCCAGTCTTGCCATGAGCTGGAGCCTGTGAATCCTCACTGTCTCACTGAAGGGTCATCATTTTCTCCTCCAGGAAGCCCCCCCCTTTGTCACACATATACCTCTCTGTGACAGCCCACCCATCTGTCCTTCCATGTGGGCTGGTAGGGCAAGTCTGTGTCTTGGAGGTCTTTTAAACAGAAGAACTAATTCCTTAGGAATTGTATGTTTTCCTAGGAAGCTGGAGGACATTTTAAAAGGGTCTTTGCTGGGGGCTGGCCAGTTAGCTCAGTTGGTTAGAGTGCGGTGCTGATAACACCAAGGTCCAGGGTTTGATCCCTGTACTAACCAGCCACTGCCCCCCCCCCCCAAAATAAATAAATAAACATAAATAAATGGGTCTTTGCTTTTAATTTTTCATTGGCTGTAGGGTATCTTAATACCTATAGTGCTTTTCCTAATTGGTGTTTCCAGGGCAAAGGAGACCCTTAGGAGACCACTCCGTTCTCAGGGCAGCCTGGGTCCCCAGCAGCTCCCAAGTCCTTAGAGACTCAGTCTGGTCTGGTGGCCCAGGCCATGGGCTTATATTATTCTCTAATGGGAAACAAAAGTCATTTCCAGGGTCCAGTTAGTGTTTGACAACAGAAAAATGTGAGCACTGACTTTGTACAATATTGAACTATCTGTACTTAGTCTTATATTCTTATTTAAACATGGTGTTTCCAAGCTATCCATATGAGTGAGTCTGGAGTGTTGTAATTAGAACAAAACCTAAACACCTGTTTTGTCTGGGGCAAAGAAAGTAATTTGCTGCATGCTTAAAACTCAGATACCACGTCTAGGAAGATGGTGGTGAGAGTGCATAGGTGTTGGGGTTGGGTAGTGAGTGGGTTTTCAGAAAGGCCCTTGTGTTTGGCATGAAGGCATCCCCTGTAGGGGGCAGTCACATAGTTGGGGGAGCACAGACCTGTGACGTTTGGAATTAAGAAAGGCTGAATTAGGGTCTGTTTCCTCATAATCACTGTGGTGAAAAATGGCTTTCTTCATTCTTATTGAGGTTACTGTCACCACAAATGATTATAGAAGTCTGTACAATTTTAAATGTTCCCTTTTAAAAATTCTTTTTTGTTCTCACATCACTGTTTTTGCCTTTTTTTTTAAAGGACAAAAGACTGTGTTGTCAAATGTTCAAGAAGAACTGGATAGAATGACTCGAAAACCAGACTCCATGGTAACAAACTCTTCAACAGAAAATGAAGCCTGATCCTCCTTAAAAAGGGCATATGTCAAATGACCAAATAACTATGTATATTGATCTGCTAAGACCAGGATTTTTCTGATATGGCACATGCTATCAGTTTTTTGGGGCAGGGGAGATGAACTTTAAAAAAATACTTCATTGGCTTGTCCGAGTATGAAATGCACATTTAGGAAGGTTACATGTCAGACTCCTTTGTTAGGGATAACCCTTGGACTCTTGGGCATGTAGCTCTCTCGTAGGAAGTGAGCATAGCTGGGCTTCTTGTGGAGGGGAAGGTAGAGCCAGAGAAAGAGAGCCCACTTTCTATCAATGTGGAGCAAATGAGACCAGGAAATCATTGATCAGATGGTGGTTAGTCTGACCATTTGGGTGTTAGCAAATTCACTTGTTCTTGGGAAGCAGATTAAGTAGCAGAAAGCCAGGAAAGAGAAAGACTAAAAAGAGGAATGAGAGAAGTGATGATGGGAAAGCTGAACGTTGAGGGAGGTGGAGGAAGGAGGAGATGAGCAGTGTTAGTAAATACTGTATGTTCAGTAGAAGTTGAAGAATCATTGTTTAAGACTTAAAATTAGAAGCATTTCCAAACTAAACACTAAGCAAAATGGGAATTAAACTTGTTCTGAATGCATTTTTACTTATGAAAGATGTGTTTAAGTGTGGGGGTACCTGAGTCAGGTGGAGCTGACACAGGAGTGGGAAAGATGGCAGCTGTCTAGAAGCCATGTACTTAGCCCAGATCATATCCTCATGGGAGGTGCTGGGCTCTGTGCATGTGCATGTGCATTGTGGGGCAGACAGTCGCTGTGGGATGTGTTCAAAGTTAGCAGTTACAAAATTAGTTTGCTTTGAATTGTGTTTTCTAAATAGCTCCTTTGTTTTTTAAATTAATTTTTTTTTTTAACTACCACAGGCTGGCCTACTAATAGAAAATGGGTGATTGACCTCTCATTTTACAATAATGCAATGTGCTACAGAAAGTTTGGGGGAGGTTTTAAATGTAATTGCACTCTGGTTAATTGGCTTGCACAAATCCCTGCCTTACAGTCTGTGGAAACCTTCACGGAGCTCCACTGATACAAAAGGGTCTTGTCCTAGCTTCCCGGTCTGATCAGTGCTATCAGATGGACAAATAAGTGTGAATGTTTTATATTGAACATAGCAATGATACATTTCTCTTGTTTTATGTTTTTCATAAAATGTAGCCTTTTTTTTCCTTAGGGAAATAAGAGTATCAGATGTCTCCCCATTTAGGGCAAATTCATGCACATTGTCATGTCACACCACCATTCTGGAAATGACTTCTTTGGATTTGAAGTGGCACTTTTAATTTTATACATGACACAGCATTCAAGTGCAAACACTACCATGAATTTAATGTATAAAAACATTTGTTGTCGAACCAAGGGAAAAAAACCACAGTTCACTTATGTGGAGTTTACTTTTTTTATATGAATGTTTGTTGTACTGTGTCTGAACATAACTTCCCTAATGTCATTACTTTTACATACCAGATTTGACTGACCACTAATGTAGTACTGGGCTTAATTTAATATCCTATGTTATATAACAAGACTCTTAAGATGGTCTTGAATTGCTTTTGTAAAGGTCTGAACACTGTTAAGGAGAAAGCTGACTATTTATTTGCCTTTCAGACAAAAACATTTTTCTTGTGCCAGTTTTATTATTGAAATATACTATATTTTCCTTTTTTAATTAATTTTTTTTTTAAATGTCTTGTGGCTTCCAATTACCAGGTTGTCTAGGTAATGATGGTAAACTGACTGGAATGATAGTTGTGGTGTAGTGACCATAGATGCCAAACAGCTTGTGGCAACACTAAAGGTGGGGGTCACTTAATCCATCTATAGCAGCTGGAGGCAAAATGAATGACCTCAGAAATGAGGGAATTTTTGGAAAGGCACATGCCAAGAGGGATATAGTGTGATTTTTAATTTTAATGTAAAATTTTAGTTTTTTATTTTTTATCATTTGAACTGATAAGCACTTTTTGTGTCAACATAAGACATACTAAAACTGATGAAATGCTGAGATACCTGTCTTGTGAAGGAAGGTTTTTTGGAAACCGCTTTTAGTTTCTTATGACAAGTGGTTGCTCCTACTATCAGAAGAAACTGATGTGTAGTGTCATGTGCTCAGTAGTTGCCAAAGTCTACCAACTTTGGGGAGCTGCAGGGTTCTTTTGGGGGGATGGGAGGAAAGGAGATGATTTTTGTTTTTTGGGGTTTTCAAGCATTGGAACCAAAGGCCAAATAATAAACATCCTTTACTTTTTAAAGTAAAATTCATTTTATTTGCAGAATACACTTATATGGTAGACTGCTAAAGACAGTTTTATGACTATACAGATAGTGGTTACATCTGCTGGTTGTCTTTAAAATGGAAAAATCAAAGAAAAATAAGCCCAACCTTGAAGATGTGGCCAAGATAAAGGCCATGACTTGGTCTTTCCTAAAAATGCAACAGGTATGCTGCTAGACTGTTTTATTTTGTTTGCACTTTTTTTTTTGATTGGCGTTTTAAAATCAGTATTTAAACTGAAGACATTGTCGTGTTTTATTAATTTAACGAAGTTAAAAGTGACTGCTCTGTTCATCATGACCTTAACAATGTTGATGCTGTAAGTGAACGTTCACTGTTGTCTATATACTGAGTTTATTGGTATTTTTACCTTAAAATTAGGACTGCAGATTATCCCCCACCAGTCTTAGTCCAGGGTATGGCTCTATTCAGGTGCAGTATGCAGTCATGTGGAACCTTGCTTTCTAGTGCTGGGAAAAAAAGATGTCTCTAATTACTGGCTTCAATAAACATGAATCCAGACTGCTTACAATTTTTGGTGACTTTCTTTATGATAAATCATCCCACTGGAGGTACATTGAATTGTCTGCTAATCATATAGGGTATCTGGTCATGTAGCTAAAAATGAATCTCTCTCTCACTTGAAATTATCAGAAGTTCTGATAAAAAAAAAAAAAACATTTTAAAGCCGTATTTTGAAGGTTTTGGAGTTCTAAGCTGTGTAGAGAGAAATGGAGTTTGTAAATTGTCCAGTGTACAGATTTTCTTGCCTCTTGGATAAATTTTTTATTATCTGAATTAGGCTGAGTGATTTTCACTTAGCTGATCCACAGAAGCATTGAGAATCCATAGAGGAATTTCAGAGCAACTATACTATAATGCCTTTCACTTATTTAAATAGGACACTCTTACTCTTGCACAGTAAAATCTGTGCAAGAAAATTTGGTTCTTTATATTAGAGTATATGAATTGCATTTCTGATTATTATACTCACTTTAAGCATGTTGAATGTTTTGTTCTTTAAAGCTGATTTAGCATACAAATTTTCTCCCCATTTTATTTTGAAAAATTGTGAACCTCTAGGAAAGTTGAAAGAGGAATGTATTGAACACCTATGTTCTTTTACATAGATTCACCAGTTTTTAACTTTTCACCACATAAGCTTGCTTTCTCTCTTTTTTCTCCCTCTGTCCCTTCTTTCTCCATTTGTCTTTCTCTCTCACAGTACGTACTCATGCGTGTGCTTGTGCACCCACAAACTTTCACCCATGAATCATTTAAAGTAAGTTTTATGGCTTTTGGTTTGTTTTTGTGCATCAGTACTTGTTTCCTTTTTTTTTTGGCAGCTGGCTGGTACAGGGATCGAACCCTGGACCTTGGTGTTATCAGCACCACACTCTAAATAACTGGCCAGCCCTAAAGTAAGTTTTAAACATCAGGGTTTTTCACCCATAAATATATCAATGAGTCCAGACCAGTTGTCTTATAGGAATATCCATATTCTGGATTCATCTTACTGTTTCCTCATGATTTGATTCAGGTTAAACATTTTTTGCAAGAACGCTACATTCTACATAAGTGAGGTTGTGTGTGTGCCAATGTGTCGAATCAGGTTATCCCTGTATTGGTGATGCTAGGTTTGTCTTTTTTCGCTAAGGTCGTGTCCCTCAGATCTCTTAAGTAATCTGGACTGATACTATTGAATATATTGGTTTTCAGCACCTTTTACTTATTGCTTATAGCATCCACTGTTGGTCCTTGCCTAAATCAGTTATCACATTAAGGGAAAGTATTATAATTTAATAACTGTCATTCTCTTTGATGCTCAAATTGCCCATGTTTGAACAGAGGGAGCTCCTTCAACCAGCTGTGTCCCCCCCCCCCCTTTTTATTGAGATATAATCCACAACATAAAATTCACCATTTTAAAATGTATAATTTAGGGGCTTTTAATATATTCACTGTGTTGTACAACCATTAATACTATCAAATTGCAGAACATTTCTATCACCTTTAAAAGAAACCCCATACCTGTTAACAGTCCAATTTCTCTTTCTCCCCATTCTCTGACAACAAGAAATCTTTTTATCTCTATGGATTTATCTATTCTGGATATTTCATAGAAATGTAATCATATATTATGTAGCCTTTTTGTGTCTGGCTTTTTTCACTAAACATAATATTGTCCAGGTTATCCATGTTGTACTGTGTATCAGTACTTCATTCTTTTTATGGCTGAATAATACTTCATTGCATGGATAAACCACATATTATTTATCCATTTATCAGTTGATGGGCATTTGCATTGTATCTACTTGGTTATAACATCACTGTGAACATTTGTATATAAATTTTTGTGTGAACATATGTTTTCATTTCTTTTGGGCATATGTCTAGGAGTGGAATGGCTGGATCATGTGTAATTCCATTTTAACTCTTTGAAGAACTTCCGGACTATTTTCCACAGCAGCTAAACTATTTTACATTTCCACCAGCAGTGTATTAATGGTTCCAATTTCTCCACTTCATTGCCAATGTTTATTTTCTGTTTTTTTTTTTTTTTTTAATAATAGCCATCCTTATGAGTGTGAAGTAGTGTCTCAATGACTAATGATGTTGAAGAGCATCTTTTTTTTTTTTTTTTCCTTTTTGTCTTTTTTACTGACCAGTAACAGGATCGCAACCCTCGGTGTCGCGCCCGTACTGGGGACCGGCAACGGGATCGCAACCCTCGGTGTTGCGCCCGCACCGCGCTCAGCCAGTGAGCGGGAACCGGTCTCCACATGGGATCCGAACCCTCGGTGAGAGCGCCACCGCGCTCCCAAGCGGCACACTCTCCAGTGCGCCACTGGGCCGGCCCGAAGAGCATCTTTTGATGTGCTTATTGGCCATTTGTATTACTCTTTGGAGAAGTGTTTATTCAAATCCTTTGCTCATTTTAAAAAATTTTATTAATTTTTACGATAACTTCGTATAATGTATGCTATACGAAGTTATTACGCCCTCGGTGTTGCACCTGCACCGCGCTCAGCCAGTGAGCGGGAACCGGTCTCCACATGGGATCCGAACCCTCGGTGAGAGCGCCACCGCGCTCCCAAGCGGCACACTCTCCAGTGCGCCACTGGGCCGGCCCGAAGAGCATCTTTTGATGTGCTTATTGGCCATTTGTATTACTCTTTGGAGAAGTGTTTATTCAAATCCTTTGCTCATTTTAAAAAATTTTATTAATTTTTATATCTTTATTGCTTGCTTTTGTTTACAAATTGATGCATACTGGATATAAAAAAAACAATCACAAACATCTAAAGTAAAAAGTAAATATTCACATTTCCCATAATCCTACTATCCAAGGAGTAATCAGTGTCAGCAGTTTGATGTGGATACTTTTAGATCTAGAAAAACAAACATTTTTTATATATTTATACATATGTCCTTTATATTTTCACAAAAATCTTATCACATTAATCATATGTTTCTAGAACTTGCTTTTTTCCTTCCTAACAATATTTTAACACTATTTCATTTCAGTATATATACATTTACATTCTTCATTTTATGGCTACTTAATAGTGCAATGTATGAGAGTACTTCAAAAAGTTTGTGGAAAAATAGAATTAAAAGATAATATGAATCTTTCCATGAACTTTTTTCCTTTTATTTATTTTTTAATTGACACATATTGATTGTACATATTTATGGGATACAGAGTTATATTTCAATACGTAAATACAGTGTATGATGATCAGTAATTAGCATACTTGTCATTGCAAAAATGTATCTTTTTTTGTGATGAAAGCATTTGAGCTCCTCTTTTCTATCCAATTAAGAATATACAATAAAATGTTAACTATAGATTAGGTATATATGGGTATAATTATAAATTAGGTTATTTGCCTTTTTACTGTCACGTTGTAAGAGTTCTTTACATATTCTGGATACTAGACTCTTACCAGATACAGCTGTGACTTTTTGACATGCCCCCATTGATCTCTGAGCATATCCATTCTGGCACAAAGAGATGTTCCAGGCTCATCTTACATTTTCCCTTCCTCTGACCTGGAATCAGCCATTTTTCCAAGGAGCCCTGGTTCCTTTTAGTGGGGATTGGTATTTAGAAACTAAGTTCTGGGCCGTGGGCATACTTAATGTGTCCTGTTACTTTTAGGCCCTTCCAAAGAACATACCATATGCACTCTTTCAGTTAATATTACCTAGAAGTTGGTTTATGTTAGTTCATGGAGAACTTTATTCTTGTTTATGGGCTCATAGTACTCAACTGTGTGAATATACCATGTTGTTCAATCACTCTCCTATAGACGGGCATTTAGTATGTTTCTAGTGTTTCTAGTGTTGTTATGTATAATACTGCAATGAATAGCCTTGTGCGTATGTTGCTTTTTATTTGTGGAGATGTATTTGCAGGGTAATTCCTAGCAGTGGGTCTACCTAGTCAAAAGGTAAGTGCATATCTGTAGGTTTTGTTAGATAATATCACAGTCCCTTCCACAGAGGCTCCACCATTCTGTATGCCTATCAGCAGTTGTACAAATTATTAATTTATTGTTATATTTTGCCTTAAAATTGAGTTTAGAAAATTTGGTGAATAAATATTTATTTTGGGCATTGTTTTATTTGAATACTAGTAGTAACATTGTAATAGCAAGTACTTACATTAGAGATTGCTATATACCAGTCACTCCTCTAGATCTTTTATACAAATTGATTTAATCTTCACAACAGCTCTGAGAGACGAATACTGCTATCATCTCCGTCTAGGTTCTTTTCTACCTTCTCTCGCCATCATGGATAGAGGAGTCACTCTTATAGGTAGGCAAAAATGGCAGATAGAGGATGTATCCAAAAAGAAAGTAGCCAGTACATCTACAGAAAGGGGGAAGGGACCTCATTTGCAGGTATCTTGCTGGGAAAGGCAGATTAAGGTGCCTGCCACTCTCATATCTTGGAAGAACCTTCCTCTTAAGGCATGAAGAGCTTTAGGAATCACCATTGGTAAGGGCTCTTGGCAGGCCCTGAGTCAGACTCTCATCTGTACAAAGTCCCTAAGTATGCATGCAAGGCTGGATGGCCGGCCTCCCTGTTCACCTGCCTTAGGGCCCTCACACACTGCTGAAGCACACTGGATTCCCTGTCCTGCCACCTCTGTGTAGGGAGCAGCACATGGATGGAAGCAGCTAGAATTTTGGGAAGGGCATGGGCTCTAATGTGTTCCAGTCCTGGTGCATTCTCTCTTAACTTTTGAATCAAGCAAGTGCAGTTTAGATAGTTGAGAAAGCGATCAAAAAGCAAAACAAAACAACCAAAACTGGAGAACTTCACCCCTTTTAGATCTCCGTCTTTGTAAAGGAGATTTCTTTTCAGTCATTGTGAACATTAGAGGAGGTACTCATGTCTATGGTAGTCTTCAGTGTGATTGTTGACCCTCAAAACCTCTAGCAAGTTGTCCCTAATTAACATTCTTCCAGCAACTACATTCTTAGGCCCTACACTTCTCTTTTTTTCTTTTTTTTTTGG